TGACATGAGACAAAGTATATGTGAACTGCTGTATGAAAAGTGAATTTACTCTGTAAATCTTCACCCAAATCCTAATAAAAAAAAAAAGAAAATTCTATGGAGCTCAGTTCTACTCTGTAACACATGGGGTTGCCACGAGTCCGAATTGATTTGACTGCAATAGATTTTGTTTGTTTTGTTTATTCTGTGCTCAGTTTTCTATTTTGCTTTCCTTTTCTTGTTATTTTGTAAGAGCTCATTAAAGATAATGGACATTAAGTATATTTTTTCATCCACAAATGGCTCAGATATTTTTCTCCAGTTTGTTCTTTGTCTTTTCAATTTGTGTGAAGGATCAGGTTCCCTTCGTTGCACTGGGTATTAGCAGTGAAGCATATATGAGAGTAGCAATAGTCAGGCAAAGTAAAGCGACCTCGTGAATGTTTACACATGACTTTTCTGATACTTTTCTAAACTAATCCCTAAATTCAAGGGAAAACAGGAATGGTATCAGTGTAAACCTGAAGCTAGAAGGCTCAAAGGAGTTCTATACATAATATACATAGTAGCCCATACATAGTCTAGCTCAAGTCATAAATGTAAGAGATTATACAGGGCAGTGCTTCTTTTCCACCAGAGTCCTGAAAACAAGAGAGGCCAGGGGTCTCTTAAGTGTGTTGAGATAGCATCTGCCGTCCCTGAAATATAGAAAATAATATTCCACTGCTCTCTGGCTTACAATGAGGTGCTGAATATGTGTTCCTTCCATATTCTGATACCTTAGCCTCCCAGCTTTTTATACTTCAGCCTAGATATCCTGAACAAAATACATTATCTGCCACATGTTCCAAACTCTCACGGTGATACTCTTAAGATTTCACCAGGTCCATTTCCCATTCTGAAAAGGTCTTGGAATCAAATTTATCATGGCCACAACTTACAGGAAAGCTGCAGCAGGCATAATTTCCTATGTTCTTAACACTTAACTTCAGTTTGTTAATACTCGACGGCACATAACAACAACAACAACAGCCATAGAGTAGATTCCTGCTCATAGTGACGCCCATTGGGTTTCCAAGGTGGTAAATCTTTACATAAAGTAGATTGCCTCATCTTCCTTCCACAGAGTGGCTGGTGCATTTGAACTGCCAACCTTCTAGTTAGCAGCTAAATGCCTTAGGCACTACACGACCAGAGTTGTTGAATGGGGCTTAAATTTAGAGAAAAAGAGATAACTTTAAGTGCAGCAATGAAACCTCAAGAAGACACTAAAGAACCCCTCTAGGCAGGAGCAGAGATATCCACACCCACAGAGCCCACTCGGGCTCAGACTATCTTTTCCTTGTTCCTTCAGAGAAGCTTAGAATTGTGGGTACTGGTTTGGAATACGTGCATGGCAGAGAAGTGTTGTATCTTGCATTCCTCTTTCTCTATGTTTATTCAGATGGTTTCAGAGTTTGGAGGAGGGGGATAAAATGACATCACCTTGCCTGACTACTTAGAGTAGGACTGTTACCCTGCAATTAATCATCACAGAGGCTCTAGCTTGATTTCTACAGAGGCCACTGATAAGTGCTCACATCCAAGCAGTTCCCTTCGGTTTTGGTGGCACACTGGGAAATTGGGTCATGTCTTGCATATGACTCATAGATGGTAACCTCATAGGAGATTCCTGTGATGTACCAGCCCTACTCTGTAACCATCCCTGGCAAGCCTATATCTCAATAGCTTCACTCTCCCCAGCCCTGACTCTGGAGCCTGCAAGCATGGCAGAATTTATTTTTCATACCTCTCCAGACCTGTGAACTTTGCAAGTGAGACATTCTGGCCCTTTACCCTGACTCATGGGGACTCCATGCAAACCCGATGAAATGATACCTGGTCCTGGGCAATCCCCATGATAGGATTGTGATCCATAGGGTTTTCATTGGCTGAGTCTAAACCAAACCAAACAAAACAAAACTCAGTGCCGTCCAGTCAATCCCAACCCACGTTGGGTTTCCAAGGCTGTACATTTTTACAGAAGCAGATTGCTCCATCTTTCTTCCAAAGAGTGGCTGGTGGGTTTGAGCCACTGTCCTTTTGGTTAGCAGCCAAACGCCTTAACCACTACACCACCAGAGCTCCTTATGTAGCTCAAAATCCCAGTGGTGAAGCAAAAATCCAGCTGAGGAATGAGAAGTAAATTTTAACATCTTATAGATATCCCTAAACTATACACACAATTCTTTTGAGATTCCATTCCCTTGCTTTGGTGAAGGGAACCATCTCCCACTACCATCCACCACCATCGCAAGAAGTAGGAAGAAGGGAGAGATTCTTTTCACAAACCCTGCACTTCCCCAAGTAAACTTAGTCTCCCTTCCGGTACTACACTACCCTTGTATTACTTCAGGGTAAGAGCCATCAAGCCAGTTCACCTTCTCTCTGCTCTTTGGGGCACAGGCACATGAGTCCCATACTAAGACTCTGGTGCCCTTCTCACCTGGCCTTGAAAATTGTTGTAATTTTGTTTTCAACAGGTTATCTATCCTTCATATTTCTCATGTAAAATCCAAACCATTCAACTCCTCAGAAAACTCTAGGACAAAGAAAGATCTCAAATGACCCATCATCACACACTGTACGAAAGATAACATCATATTCAGGACGATGTGTGCCTGTCTCAAAACATTCCCTCGTTATAGCTAACCTCCTATGTAGCCTAACATCTAACCAGGAAAATATACAAATGTGTTTTCATTCAACAAAATTTAGTGATTTAAAACAAAAGCCTTACCCAAGGTGAGCCACAAGGACTATAGCAAAGCATTTACTCATAGAGAGGAAAAAAAAAAATTCCACTCGCTAAGTCTCACATTAGGAGCTCTGGTAGAGTAGTACCTAAGGCACTTGACTGCTAACCAGAAGGCTGGTGGTTCAAACCCACCAGCCACTCCTCGGAAGGAAGGTTGGGCAATCTACTTCCATAGTGATACTGCTTCAGAAATCCAAGGAGGGGTCGCTATGAGTCGGGTCTGACTCGACAGCACACAACAACAACAAACTTCACATTCAAAGGTTCATTCACAGTGGCTTTTCCCATTTCAGAGGTTTTTTTCTAGGTAATTCCTAAACTTCATAAAAACTTTCTTGGATTGGGCTAAATAAAGTCCCCTAGATGAAAAGCACCCAATTAGTCTCAGTATTGGATCCATTCATTCAACAAATATTCACTAATTACCTACTTGGTGCAAGAACTCTATTAAGTCACTGGGTATGCAAAGTAGAAGAAATACCCCTGTGCACTCATGAATTTTAAAGACAACTGGATCCAACTAAGGAAAGAATTAAGCGTTCTGGTGGTGTAGTGCCTAAGACATTTGACTACTAACCAGAAGGCTGGCGCTTCAAACTCACCAGCCACTCCTCAGAAGGAAGACTGGGCAATCTACTTCCATAGAAATACCGCCTCAGAAACCCAAGGAAGGCTTGCTACGAGCCAACTCAATGGCAGGGAGTTTGTTTTTTTTTTTTTTTTTGGGGGGGGGTAGTTAGCACAGGATCTCTGGTAGCGTAGTGCCTAAGGCACTTGACTGCTAACCAGAACGCTGGTGGTTCAAACCTACCAGCCACTCCTCAGAAGGAAGGTTGGGCAATCCTACTTCTGTAGTGATACTGCCTTGGGAAACCCAAGGAGGGGTTGCTATGAGTCAGGTCCGACTTGATGGCACATAACAACAACAACATAGGAGTTTGGCAACAAAACTTGAGAAGTGAGCTTTTATTTTTCTGGCCAGTCTTGCCTCAGTGGTGCATATAACACTTAATTCAGGAGCCCTGGTGGAGTAATAGTTAAGTGGTCATCTGCTAACCCACCAGCCATTCCTTGTTCTGCTGGAGAAAAGGCCTGTCCATCTGTCCATTTTTTTTTTTTTCAGGCACCACATAATCTCATTTTCCACTCTTTAAAATCACATTTAAAAAGTCAGCAAAGAAATGCACCAGGGAATGAATGGACGGGGAGGGTGCGCCGCCCCAGCCCCAGGGGAGGCAGCACCACATACAGTAGCATGACTGGCACAAGGGGGCATGCGGGGAGGTGGCGCTGTGGGCAGTGGCACTGACGGACATGAGGTGGATAGCCCAGTTGTTTTCAAGTACGGTGTGGGGAGGGTTGAGCCCACTGCGCCCTCTCACCGCTGCTGCTGACACTGCCCAGCCCTGCCCTCGGGCTGGGCAGGCTGGTTTAGCACATTCCTAGCGGCCTTTCCGTGGGTCCTGAGCCCAGGCATGCAGGGAGGGAGGCCATGTGCCACCTGGCCGAGGCCCAGGGTCCAGGAAGGCGGGAATGGAGGTGGCCAGGGACAAAGGAGCTTCTTCCAAACAAGGGCCATGGTGCCCAAATCACTGTTGGCGGTCACGGGAATGGGGCTGGGGAGACATGAGGCTTTTCGGCTGGCTGTCCTGCGGGGAGAATGCATGCCTCGACCTCCCATCTGGGCCTCCTAGCCGAGCTCGAGCTACAGCTCAGCTCAGTGGGGCACCACTGCCATGGACTGGGCCGGAAGGCTGCCCAGGGCCTCTGCTCTCCCCTGACACTTAGACATTGGAAGCGGGTGACCCCTACAGGGGTCAGGGCTGGGGGTGGCTGGGTGGGTGGCAATAGGAACCCAGGCAAGCAGGCCTCTCCTGGGGGCTGGGCCAGGCTGGGGCCACAGGAATCACAATAATTACAAAATAAAACTTTTTTTTTTGCTTGCAGGAAAACAAATAATAAAAATTCAATGAAATAAATTAGAGGTTTATAAAGGGCAGGTAGACAGTCAGAAGCCTTTGGCGCTACCACGCTGGATCAGTGGCACCTTGCTCAGCTCCATGACTGGTGACTGCGGCTTGCTCTTCATCTTAGGCACCCGCTGTACCAGCTGCTGGGCCTCAAGGCCCAGGAAACTCTATGAGACAGCCCTACATTGTCATATTGTGTCACTATGAGTTGGAATCTCAACTGCACACAACAACAATTCCTTTATCATAAACAAACAGCTACTAAATAATGTTTCTGAAACATGCCACTTTCACAATGGCATCTCTGTTTTCTAGGTATGATAATTTTGAGGGGGGAATGATTTCAAGTTGGAGAAAAAAAAACATTTACACTAGGTTTACTTGCTTCACACACACCTTAGTTTATCTAATTTTTTTTGTTTGAAACGTTCAGCCCAAAAGGCTTTGGGACTAAATTCTGCATAATATGCTTTAACTTTCGAGGTCATTACAAGGAGGTATTTGTTGGGGTGTTTTGGGAAGGTTAGGGATGAAAAGGCTCCTTCTTGCCCACCCCTCACTCCATTCTGATATTAAAAACATCCCTTAAATGTACATAAAATGACTAAAATCTGACAACAGGATTTCTCACTGAAAATTTACTTCACAGATCATTTTGAAAAACAATTGTTTTCAAAAAGAGTCCCTCAATTTCTAATTTATTTTTGACAAAATTTTGAAAACAGACTAGTATGTTTCAAAAAAGGATGATGCGGTCCCTGGAGAAATTATTTTCTTTGTGATACAGGTGAACATAAATAATGAGGCTTTCTACTTCCTCAGATTGATTTTGTTCCAGAAATGAAAATGTTTTTCAGTTTTTGAGGCATGCTGATTTAAAAAGATAAATTATTAGGAGGGATGTATACGGCCCACTTGGCCTCCCTACCCCCCTACTTCCCTTCGCCCTCCCCACCCCAGACCTCTTTCTAAATTTTCTAGAAGGATATGTCTGCAGGGGACATGGTGGACATTGGTGGCTGTGCGTGTGCAGTATCTGTGGGGTGTGTGGGGGGAGCAAGTGGCCAGGGAGAAGAGGAGAGAAAGCAGAAAAGGCCAAGGGCCTTAGAGGAGTGGGGGAGGGCTCAGACCCTCTCTGGTAACCAGAGAAGCAAAAACTCTATCAGCAGGGTGGTCATGACACTTGTGGACCATGGGATTGGAGAGGACCCAGATGAGTGAGAGGCGGTACACCAAGGAGCACAGTGCACAAAGGGGCGGAAAGGGGTATCTGCTTGTATATATGACAGGATGTATAGGTGGAGGTCCTGCTGCTCTGCCCGCCCCCCGGGGGGGGAGGGGAACGGCTAGCACTGCGATGACGTGCGGCCCTCACGTGACCAGGAGTTGCAGCGCAAAGCAGGCTTCGGTGCAGTCGTCACTTGCGTCTGGGTACCAGCTCCCCGCTGCCCGGCGCACGGTGGGCTGGCATCGGGCCCGGGCAAAGCATAGCAGGTAAGGCCCGGGGCCCGCGCGCCTCATCTAGCCGCAGTCGCCCGCAGACCTGCCGGCGGGCACTGGGGAACAGCACCATGGGTCCCGGCCAGCTTTCCCCATACCCAGCGTTCTTGGGAAAAGAAATGGTGGCACCCGCGGAGGGGGCTACAGAGTCGGCTGGAGTTCCAGGGAGGGCAGCAAAACAACTAAGAGAGCGCTGGGAAATCACGCCTGGGTCGTAGGGAAACGGCAAGCAATGCGGGGGGCGGGGCAGCGGTGTAGCGATGGAGGCGGGTGGCGAGGGGGGCCGGGTCCCAGGGAACCGGGCGGCGGCGGGGCGGCGCCTAGCGCTCAGCCTTTGCAGCCTCCGCTCCCCCCACCCCGGCCGTCTGCAGGTCTGAGGGTCGCGGCATTGCACCTGGCGGCGAGGATCGGGAGGAGGAGGAGGAGACTGCCAGTATAGGCCCAGGTCGGTGCGGGGGACCGTGAGGAGGCGGGGGCGGGGGCCGAGCCCAGTCTGAGACCCCTGTCACCCACCCCCCGCCCTGTCCTCCATTTTGCTGCCTGCAAAGGCCTGGCAAAGCAGCTGCAGGAAAAATGGTGGGCTTGGGGGGAGGGAGAGGAGCGCATTGGGAGCCCCCTAGAGGGCGCTCGAGTCCTTTCAAGTGGGAAACGTGCAAAAACCAACCTTTGAATTCCAGAGCTCTGAATCCCCCTGGTTCAGTACAGAAAGTATTCATTCCCTTTTTACGTTTATCTTTTAGGATTATTTGTATTCAAAGAAAAACACCCAGGGAAAGAAAATTTCATCATGGCAAATATCCACCAGGCAAATGAAGAGATGGAGCAGGCCCCAGTGCAGAACGGAGAGGAAGCTCACCCTTTGGGAAGGGGCGAAGGCCAGCAGCCTGCAGGAAATAACCGGCGAGGACAGGCTCGCCGCCTTGCCCCTAATTTTCGGTGGGCCATACCCAATAGGCAGGTCAATGACGGGGTGGGTGGAGATGGAGAGGATATGGAAATGTTCATGGAGGAGATGAGAGAAATCAGGAGAAAACTGAGAGAGCTGCAGTTGAGGAATTGTCTGCGTATCCTAATGGGGGAGCTCTCTAATCACCATGACCATCATGATGAATTCTGCCTTATGCCTTGACTGCTGCCATTTTCTATGAAATGAATACTGTGATTCTTGCTGTTTTGTTTTCCTTCTTTGCATTTTCCTAATATATCTTTGCTGATCCGTTTGCTGTAAACTTTGTATTATTTCTATGTGTTGAACCCAAACCAAGACCACCCCCTTGCAGTGGAGGCGATTCTGACTCATGGACCCTGTAGGACAGAGTAGAACTGTCCCATAGGGTTTCCAAGGTTATAAATCTTCACAGAAGCAGACTGGCCCATCTTTGTCCTTCAGAGGGAGTGGCTGGTGGTGGTCATGAAAGTTTGACCTTTTGGGTTAACCTTAACCACTGTGTCACCAGGCTCCTTTCTATGTGTTAGCTAGGTCTCACGTTGTTACCAGCTTCTAAATGAAGATTACCTTTGCACCCAGTCTAAGTTTCTGTCAGCAGTCCAGTTTCACCCTTATGCATGGAAAGATGTAAAGTTAATAAAGCAATTTAAAAGCTATCTGTATACTTAGGATTGTCTCATTAAAAAACATATAAACTTACACGTAACATTTGAACCCCCTCAAAATCTGAAATGAAATACGCCAGAGTGTTAACTGGGGACCATTTCTGAATGGTGGGATAATATGTGAGTTGTTTTCTTTTATTATCTGGAACTTGAGAACCAATGAAAATGATTTTTCAGTGAGTCTGTGGATACCGCATAGGCACATAATAAATACCAGTTCAACAAACTTAAAGAAAGAAGGGTAAGCCTTAAATATCTTCCAGTCTTTTTACCTGGAGGAATTAAACTTTTCCTTTATTACAGATATATTTCTTTAAAGGGCTAGTTTTCTCTTCTGAGAAATGGAGAACATTTGCCTAATAAGGCTGCTGAATGGAACAGACAAGGGATGGAACTGTTAGACCGGCTCCTATTGCACTCCCCAGCATTTGACAGCACCCTCCTGGCCCCTGTCAGGTACTTGAGGAAGGTGAGAGGGAGTTTGCACTGATGTTCAAAAGTCTAAACCCAAATACTAATTATTGCTTTGTCAGTTGGGCATCCTTCTGTGGATCCTGTTCCCTCTGCTTGGAGTTGCTGATGTGCTGGAGTCCAAGATAATCAACCCACTGATTTCTGTGGAGTCCTTCTGGAGCCAAATCCCGTTTTTATGCAGTTTTGAAGGAGGAGATACGTGGGGAAAAATACAGCTTACGTAGGATACATAGGCTGTCATGGTATGCAGGTGCTGTGCAGTTGATCATATGACATTTTCCTAGTATGTTCAAAACATGGCATCTATACTCCTAGGTGCAGTAGCTTTACTATGTTAATGAGACCTTTGAATAAACTTTAAGGTAAGGTAGACTTAGTCCATACTGATTCTGTGGTAGGAACTTAGTTTCATTTCAGGAAATGCTTCAAGAAGTCTCAATTAAATTCCTTTGGGATTAATAAGGGGCAAATTTGGCAAGAATTGTGGTACAGCTGGGCAGCTATCAATCCCTCCTGTTAAGAATATAATTTCTTGATCTAGATCATATTCATTCTAATATAGGAATCTCCTAAATCAAGCTGCAGCTTCTTTACATCTGGGGACACGGTGAACATAGGCTTATGTACTTGGTCTTGGTTTACACCAGGTCAAAAAAGAAGGTATACATTGCATGGAACAGCATACAAAGACCCACTGTAATGAGGAAAATGAAGCTTATAAAAAACCGTTTCAATCAGTTGTAGTCAGCCACCATGGACTTAGTCTAAGTTAAACCTGAATTTTGAGTAGTGTTTTATTTTCGAGACCACTTATCTGATTTGCTTTGTTTTCTCTTCTGTAGGTTGAGCATTTTCAGTTAGAACAGCACATTCCTTTGAGCTCTTCACATCTGTGATTATGTCTTAATAATAAGTAATCAATGGCTCTGGTTCTCTAAGACAGACTCTCTGTCTTGTTCTAATTCCTGGCTTAAGGCATCTATAGCTTGAGAAGTGTTGTCTAGGCCTTTAATGGCTGCACAGGCTAAAACATTAATGTTTTGGGTATTGTGAGTTGCAAGTCTGGGTACTGTGACTAGGGAGAGCAGGAGGGCCACAAATTCTGCCAGACTGAGTGAAGTTTCTTCATTGCACCTCTCATCTAAACTTAAGGAGCAGCTTGCTCTAAGTGCATTCTCCTTGGGGTACATGGCAGTTAGCCTCCCTATAGAACAAAACCCTCCAGTTGAATTCACAAGTGTGTATGAATAAGCTTTAACTCCACATAACAAAAACCATTCTATGAGCAACTTGATGTGGCCCCAACAGTAGCTAACGGGTTGCATTCATACAGTTCACAGAACCTTGATACTTAGGTTAGAAAGGAAACATGCTTTTCAGAATGTGGCATTGTTTTGACAAACAAGGAAAACACTTTTGTTGTCCTTGTAGTGTGGAGAATCCCAATTATATATGTATCTGTAAGGTCAATAGTGTTACTAATGATTTTGAAATTGGTGTAATTTCTAATCAGTTATACCACAGTACTGATTCCTACTAGACACAAAGTGAAAGTCTCTTCTACATATTTCTTTCTGATCAACAGAACTGAAGTAATTAAGACTTGTTGCGCTAGGTAAACCTAATCATTTCAGTTTTTGCTGAATCTTTGGCATGCTAATCCACAACTGAGGAGCTCTGGTAGCATGGTGTATAAGGCATTTGGCCGCTAACCACAACGTCCACTGTTCAAACCCACCAGCTGCTCCATGGAAAGAAGATAGGGCAATATACTTCTGTAAAGATTAATAGCCTTGGAAACACAGTGGGGGTCGCTATGAGCTGAAATTGACTTGATGGTAGTAAGTTGGGTTTTCTCCCCAGCTGGGGAGGAGCAGCAGGAAAACAATTAAGGTTCTCATAGTCTCTTGAAAAGAACTTAAGGTTTTGAAGTTCCTCACAGTTCCAGTTGTTTCTCTGGGTCTCAGTTGGTCAGGGTCTGGTGTAGACTTCAGTCTGATATGACAGATCCAGGATTGACTCCTTTGAGCTTCATGGCAGTGTGAGTGGTGAGGAGAACTTAATATTGACCTCTCCACTTTGGTTGGAGAGGTTAGTCTTTCCACATTCTCAGCAGGATCCAGTCTTCTGGGTAAAAGGCATGGACTGACACTTCTGGTGGGTGATCCTGTCTTCCAAGGGCATATCTGTGGAGAGAGGAAAAAACAGCAGGCAAGGACCACAAATAATCTTGCACTTTCTTTTCACAAGTTGGGCACCTTTTGTCAAACCTGTGTTTTTCAGAAGGAGCCTTCCATATATTAGCTCAAAAGGGCTTAATTTGAGCTTACTTCTGGGAGCAACCCTGACCCTCAACAATGCTATAGGAAGAACCTGTGTCCATGTTAGTCTAGTCTCTTGGCACACTTTGGATATGTGCCAATTAAGGGTGTGATTCATTCTCTCTACTTTTCCACTTGATTGTGGTCCCCAAGCTGAATGAAGTTTCTATTTTATTTCTAAAGCTTTGGCTACCTTTTGAGCTATTTTGCCTGTAACGTGAGGCTCATTGTTGTTGCCCAGAGAAGCAGGTAGTCCAAGCAAGGGATAATTTCATGAATAGGTGTTTAACTACTTCTTTAGTCTTTTCAGTCTTATGGAAAAGCCTCCACCCAATTGGAAAACATGTCCATAAAGACTAAAAGATATTTGTGGTTACCTACAGTATGAAGCATTTCAGTGAAATCTAATTGCCAGTCTTTTCCTGGTGCAGGTCCTTAATATTGTACTATGGTGACTGGGGGAGCTCTGGTAGCATAGTGGCTAAAAGCACTTGACTGTTAACCAGAAGGCTGGCGGTTCAAACCCACCAGCCACTCCTCGGAAGGAAGGTTGGGCAATCCTACTTCCGTAGTGATACTGCCTCAGAAACCCAAGGAGGGGTCGCTATGAGTCGGGGCCGACTCGACGGCACATAACAACAACAACAACAACATGGTGACTGGAGGCAGAGGATGGCTTTGAAGTTTGGAGTGCCAATTGAACAGTTCTGACTAATTGTTAACAGTGGAGTGGATCTTCTTGCTCAGGAGATATTGTTTAACCCATTCATACATACTTTCATGTCCATAATGTGACGAGGCAGGAGCCCTCTAAAATGTGACACAGCATTTGTTCTGGGACTAGAACTTTTCCCTGTGGAGTGTGCTTTCATTCTTCAGCTAATAAAGGTCTTCTTCAGAGTATACAGGGGCTTCATCTTCAGGTCTCTTTGTCTGAAGAATAAGAGGGGCTATGACAGCAAGAAAAAACTTCTCCTTGTGCTGTTGACTTTGCAGCTTCATCTGCTCTCCTATTCCTTTGATTAGATCAGAGCCATCTCTCTGATGTCCTTGTCAATGCACAACAGAGACTTTTTGTGGCAGACAGACAGCCTCTAACACTTGTAAAAGTTCTGCTGCATATTTGATCTCTTGTGCAGCTGCCATGAAGAGTCCCCTCTCCTTCCACAGATTTTTATGAGCATTCAGAATTCCAGAAACATATTTGTAGTTTTCGTAAATAGTCACAGTTTTGTCCTTGTCCAGCTCTTATCATAGCTATGTGTGCAGCCTTTTGGGCTGAAGTTCCTCTTGGAAGTGATTGTGCCTCCATGGTCTTTCAGAGAGTCCCTGAGGCAAATCCTGCACATCTGTCTCCATTGTTCATAAAACTACTGTCTGTGAAAACTTCAAGATCCAGTTTTAGGAGAAGTTCATCATTAAGATCAGGACTGTGTGAATACACTTCATTTATGACCTGAAAACCATTATGTTCTAGTTTAGGGATTGATGACCAGGGTAATAAGGTTGCTGGGTTCAAAGGTGAGGTCTCTTAAGAGTGATTACTAGGTTATCAAGTAGAATGGTCTGATACTGACCATTCATCCTGTAGACATCCAGTGGGCTCCCATTTTGTTCTAGGATTTCCAACACAGAATGGGGGACAAGGAATGTCATGGTTTTCCCAAACTTAGTTTTTGAGCGTCCTTGATGTTCAGGACAGTTGCTGCTACTGCTCATA